CGCTGGAGGCGTGCTTGGAGCCGGGCCGTTGAGTTGAGGCGTTACCGGGAGTCCCGGCGAATAGTACCGATGTCCTGCCGGCTCGGTGCTTTCCCTCAGCTCGGGAAGAGCCTGCGTTTCTCCAGAGAGACGTTTTTTAGCCAACAGGCTCAGTAGGATTCGATAACGCTTTTTGTAAGGAGCTTTCAGGTGGTGCTTTTCAGTTCCACGTGGTGGCAGGCCTCCACGAGTAAATAAAGGACCCGTTTTACTGCCACAGGAGCGTTTTCAAGTACATTTCATCTCATTCTGTCCTTTCTTTGCAGTTTACCAGGTCTTTGAAAGTGTGGCCAAGAAATATGACGTAATGAACGATTCAATGACTCTAGGGATTCATCGAGTGTGGAAGGATATCCTCGTTCATAAAATGAACCCTTCCCCCGGAATGCTGCTTCTTGATGTTGCTGGAGGAACAGGTAAATAATTTTGGTGAGTTCCACATGACAATACTATGCTGGTTTTGAACTGTTTGAGTCTGTTCAGAATTAAGTTGTGTAGCTTTTTTTTTTCTTTCCTTCTCCTCAGTTCCCTGTCTCTAAAAGTGGTGAAGCATCTACTTGATTTTCACAGAGAAGGGTTGAGAGCTAACTCCTTTGTGTTTTGCAATGTTTTACTCCAAGGGTCTGAAAGTGTTATAGTACTGCCATAATGTGTTATGGAAAACTGTTTCTGTTTGTAGGAAGTCATGGACTCTTTGCTTTAATATGTTCCCTTTATATGTTTTTATATATATATATGTGTGTACTCTCTCTGTTCAAAGCCTTATGTTCCAATTTCCTAGAGTCAGAAAACATTCCAAAATGTGTATCTTTCTTTTAAAACAAATGCAGGTGACATCGCCTTTCGATTTATTAATTATGTTCGCTCCATGCGAGAACGCCAGCTCCAGCGGAAGCTTAAGCACCATCAGAACTTATCGTGGCAGGAAATTTCTGAGAGTTACCAGGAAGACAAATTTAAGTCCCTAGGCGATTCCCAAGTGGTGGTCTGTGACATTAACAAAGAAATGTTGAAAGTTGGGAAGCAGAAAGCACAGCATCTTGGCTACTCCGAAGGTGAGTCATGCGTTGTACCGTTTCAGTAGCGTACCTGATAGCAAGAATTTGCTACGTGATAGCCATCAGGTAATCACCACTTCAGGATTACAATATACATTATACAGCCTTAGTGTATACTATAGCTGTGCTTGTCTGCCAACGTTGAGTTACTTTTTCAGTGAGCGTGTATGTAGCATATTGTTCAGATGTACAGTGATCCTCTTGAATGATACTTGAACTTTCAGAAATACATATATGGAAATGTCCATGAGGTCTGATATCCAGCTATCCTTCAAAATTGGTCAAATAACCTAAACCTGTGCAAATGACAGATTTTACTAAGGCAGATAATGCAAAAGAGCTCAGCCTTAGAGTGATTATACTAAATGTCTTACAATGGATATTTTAAGAATCAAGGCAGCAAATTAAAAAATGCAAGAACTGAAGTGTATTGTGAACCTGTAAAACTTTCCACAGTTAGAACACATGCTAATAGTACTCAGGGAAACTGAGTTATATTAAATGTTAGTTTAAAATGTTAGTTTGCAGATCAATGGATTAATTCACTGATATCTAGAACTTGTTGGGGACCACGCCAATTCTGATTGAAAAGCCTCATTTTAAGAAGTAAGACAGAGAAAGAAGTCCTGCTTGTGGCTCAGCGTTTGTATGATAGTTTTTTATCCTCTCTTCACTTACGGATATTTGGCAAATATTGTAGCAGTGTAAATTATACCAGATTTCCAAACTTTGCCTGGGTACCACCATTAGGTATGCCCTGGGCAGCCTCTGCGTATGTGTTATGGGGTCTCCTGCATGTCCTTTCACTGCACCCTGCTCCCACACCCCCATCGGGACTTCAGCCTACAGGTTGTGTAGGCTGAAGGGCGTACAGAACAGCTCGGTAACACACAGAGGCTGCAAGATAAGCTGCTGGCATAGGTTCTCTCAGCTGCTCTTGCTCCCTGCTGGTGGGTTACCCCAGGCCGTTGCCTGCCTGCATCTTCCTTTTCTTTAAAAAGCAAACAAATAGTGAAAGCATTGGTTCTTCTGGCTCTGACAGACTGCTTGCGTTGTGCTTATCTGAGCAGCTTGCAAGCCTGTCCAGAGCTCTTTTTGTGCGTCATAGTTTGGGAACACCTGAGCTGTACCAACATTGTAAGTATAAAAGCTTCATGACAGTAGCTTAGGACCTGAAGTAAAGCTTGGTGCTGCCTCCCAGCTACTATAAATAAAGTATTTTGTTTAACTGGCTGCACTTGTTAGGTATTTTTGTGACTTACCGAATTCTCAAAATGAGTATTTACAGTTTTTAGTTTCCTTCCCTGGGACATCATAGCTGTAGAAGCCCAACTGTCTTCTCGTTGCCTGGGTTGCCTTGTGCTCCACTGTGCCACAATTCTGACTTCTTATTTTCACTCCCTTGTTCAGCACATACCCATTTAATCCTACCATTAGTGTCCTACCTTCTGTTTTTCATGTGATTCCTCCCTGTTGTTGTAATCTCATTTCAGAGCTTGCTTATCTGTTGGCTGTCTGTGGTCCAAAATTATTTTTTCTTAAAATTACAAACAGCAGAGTTGTATATTTTCCTATGTACGTTCACCAACAGTGAGAGCCGTGCATGCTGAAAGGAAACGTGTTGCAGAACGGCTGATGGTGTGTTTTGGCCAGCAGGAGTGGTAGGCTGCACTGCACGTGCCCCAGTTCCTCTTGCTGGACACTGACAGCCCCTTTTATGTATCCACTTAAAATCTCCTGGCCTCTGATTTTACCACAGTGTATCCTGAGGGACAGTTTTCCTGTTGCTCAAAACCTTTTCTTAATGCTCACTTCTTAGGTGTCTCTTCAAACTATCCATGTTTAAGTAACACTAATAATTACTGCTTTAGTAATGTTGCGTGCTGCTTCGCATACAATACTTTCTACAACTATATATTTTATAAAAATGAAATCTTCTGGCAACACTTATTGTTTTCTGCTGTGTTTTGCTCTCCTCCATGTCACTTTCTAGCATGCCGCTCTTTTAAACTGCTGATCTCTGTTGCAGAAGACTCCTGTTTTTTTTTCTGTCAGTTTTTTGTTTTGTGTTTGAGTCATCAAAATCAGTGACTTTAAGAACTACTAATTCTAAATTGAGCAGTGTTATTTTTGGTACAAATCCACAGCTAGACATGTCCTTGATCCATTGGAGTTTGGGAAGTAGCACAGCTGCAGCACGATCACATACTCATAGTGCTGATGGAAAGAGTGTGGCTTTCCATGTTCCACAATCTATGGAAGTGTTCTAGCAAAATGTTTTAAGTGTTTTGGCTATTGTTGCATGGCAAGACATTAATAATTGTTTATAGTTACTCTTTGAGCAAAGATTCTCTTTTTGCAACTTTACTACCAACAAATGGCAGCCGGTTTTTGGAAAGCCGGTTACTTTCTGCTATGACGCAAGATTTGTGTGAAATCTTCTTGGCAGACTAAGGCACTGTGAGCATAACGTGCGTGTGTATGGAGAAGAATGTTTTGGCTAATCTGAAAAATTAACTACTTTGCTTGAAAGACAGCTGTACAGTACAGGGCCTTGAAAGGTTTGTGAGTATAGACCAAGGTGTCTTTCTGCCAACAAAAATGCTAAATTGAAGTATTAGTTTCAAATATCACTTTATTAATAATAATTTCCTTCTGCAATAGCAAAGTTCTAGTCTTTCTGGAGGAGCCTGAGTTTAATTCTGTGTCTGGTTTTTACTGCAGGCTTGTCCTGGGTCCTTGGGAATGCTGAGGAGTTGCCCTTTGATGATGATAAGTTTGATGTTTACACAATTGCCTTTGGAATCCGAAATGTAACTCGTATTGATTTGGTAAGTTGCTGCAGTGTATCCTGACATGGGATCCTCGTGATTCACCTGAGGTTTTTTGTTCTAGTGGAGGAAGCAAAGGAGGAATTACTTTGGGTAAAGGAACACCTTTGCCTACTCCTGAAACATTTAAAATAAGTGTCATGTAGTGTGCAACTTGTTTGCATGAAGAATGCCATGAAATGCCCCACCTTTGCCGTAAAAAGTTCGGTTTATACTAGTTGTGCCCAATCCTTTCAGCTTGGCAAGCCACACAGTCTCTTCCTAAGGCAGAAAGGGCTGAATGCTGCGGTCGTTCCCCACCTTCTCCTGACCCATGATATGACCAGATCTACATATGCGCAGTGCCATCAGCCTGCATGTCTTGAATCTTCCTGAATCTTCTGTATATCGCACCTGCAGTGGGTCCAACGCTTCCTGCACCATTCTGTTTCTCTGCCTGAGCCAGCAGAGCTCCCAGAGTGGAAGGGGGGAAGCAACCGCTGCCATTGAACTAACCCATTCAGCCCCCTGGTGCTCAATTAGAGTAAGTAGTATCCTTTGTTCTAAACGTTATCTGTCCTTCAAGAATGACTAGCTATCTTGTGGGTGAAGAACGTTAGATGAACTGTCTCCTTAGACTAGTTGTCTGTTTTGGAGAAGTATGTTACAACCTTGGCAATGCTCCTTCTATGGAAAGTGTAGCATTTGGAACTAACCCATTCAGCCCCCTGGTGCTCAATTAGAGTAAGTAGTATCCTTTGTTCTAAACGTTATCTGTCCTTCAAGAATGACTAGCTATCTTGTGGGTGAAGAACGTTAGATGAACTGTCTCCTTAGACTAGTTGTCTGTTTTGGAGAAGTATGTTACAACCTTGGCAATGCTCCTTCTATGGAAAGTGTAGCATTTGGATCTGAACCACCGTGAACTGTATGCCTTTAAACTTCTAATGTGGATAAACTTTCACAATGCTTCATCTGCACCCTTCTGAAGCACAAGCTCTTTGTCTTGCACTCCTTCATGGGTACAGTAGTCTGGTAGCATAGCTCCCTGGAGACCTGATACAAAACACATCCAAGCCTCCAATTGTTTTGCAGAGCTCCTGTCACATATGTGTACTGTTTATATTTCATCCCCTAGGAACATGGCAGTTGAAGCCAAGCAGATGTACAACCTGCTGTGCTCTTGTATGCAAAAAACATACAGTTGTAAACAGAATTTTCTCTTGATTCTTCTTGGGTGTTTTATTTTGCATATAGGATGGAATTTTCAAAGTAGCCAAAGGTTTTCTTCTTCCCTCTCCTTCCTCTCTATTCTCACACGTTGCTCATCCAAAACGCAGTATCATTTCTTCTTTGATCCTTTGGGTGTGCCTCACAGTTGAGTAAAATCTTTTCTTTTGATTAAAAAAAAAAAAAACCAACCAAAACCTACTATCATGCCTTCTTTTCATTTTCAGCTTCTTGTAGCTGAGTCACCTTCTCCCTTTTGGGTTTGGTCTGTAATTACAAGAGCTCTACTGGCAAACATTCATCAACTAAGAGTAGGGCAAAAAGACGAAAAATTGCAAACCTGACATCATAGTTTTGACACAAAGCCTGATATAAATGTATTTATGTAACAGCAAGAGTTTTTCTGGTTTGTTTTGTTGTTTGCTTGGAGTATTTTTTCATACTTGTCTTGGGATGCCTCTCCACAAGTAAATAATGGAGATTGCCAATCAGGATTCCCTTTACTCCCCTCAGTTTATCGCTGAGTTGCCATCGCGTGGTGTGATAATAGCCAGGTGCTGTTCTGCAGAAACAAACTTATCGCGTCTGCTTTGTCTCAGGCACTTCAGGAGGCGTATCGTGTGCTGAAACCAGGAGGAAGATTTCTCTGCCTTGAATTTAGCCACGTCAGCAACCCTGTTCTTTCCAGGTAGGAGCATGATAACATTTGTCATGTCACAGGGCTCCCTTATTTGTACTCAGCCAGAATAAGAGATGGAGGCACTTTGAGGCCACACCACTGTACACTTTTAAAATCAGATACAGACTCCGTAGTGTAGTGGTACAGAGATAAACTTGTATGGAAAGGGCTGGTTTTAAACTTTTTTGTATTAATTTGTATTTGCTGTCTGTCTGTGCAGGCTGTATGATCTATACAGTTTCCAAGTTATCCCTGTTCTGGGTGAGGTTATTGCTGGTGACTGGAAGTCTTACCAGTATCTCGTGGAGAGCATCCGACGTTTCCCTCCCCAGGTAAGACAGTATTTCTTTGAATTCACTAACACACAAAACACAGTCCCAGCATCATCCTGCAGGCAGCTGGCTTATAGGCTCTCGGGATATTATAATTATGGAACTATTATTTTTCAGGAGGAGTTGAAGGCAATGATAGAAGATGCAGGTTTTTTTAATGTGGATTATCAGAATTTAAACTCGGGCATTGTTGCCATTCACTCGGGTTTCAAACTGTGAGTCTACTATGTAGCAGAACACAGGAAGTGTAATTTTCCTGAAGAACATGAAAGCTGTGGAATCTTAACACTTAATCAGAATTGAAAAGGAGTTTTAAGAACTTGTGCAACAAATACTTGCTCAGCAGTCAGACCCAGAAGAACATCAGCCACCTTTCCCCACGCCCTAGAAATCTGCAGATGAAATGACTTCTGTGGCCAGTTTCTTACGCTTGCGTTTCCCTTCAAGTGCCACGGAAAGGACATGGCCAAAACTGAGAGAAGTACCAGTGAGAAGTAACTTGGATTTATTAGATTTTTATGAAGCTGTCATTATCTTTGTCATGTGAGCTTTAAGTTATTTTTCCCATGATTACTTCCCTTTTTTGAAAGGCAAATGGAAGGCTTGTGAAATAAAATAGCTCTGCATCAACTTTTCTCACTCAAGTCAGTATTTTAACCTCTCTTAAGGTTTCCTTTCTAAGAAAAGGTTATTTTTTCCTGAAGGAGAATGACTGCATAACTATATTCTGGGATGAGATTACATGTTTTCCCCTCCATATGGAATCTTTTTCCTTGTCGGTGCTAGATGCATAATCTCTACATAAAAATACTGTGTATTTCCTTCTGTTCTTTAAACTGGTTGAACAGATGCTTCTGTAGCACTGCTGTAAGATACAGGGATAGATTGAAAATAATCTAGAGAAAGTACAGATTTACATTCTAAAGTAACAGCTGTATAAGGAACTAGTATGAAAACTTCTCTCTTCTGAAAGGACTATTGCTTTTAGCTCACCAGTTCATTTGAAATCAGAAAAGCAACACGTATCTGAACTGAATCTGCAGTGGAGGCTGTGCATACTGAAAATACACTTATTGAGGATTGAAAAGCAGTTTCTTTTCTGTTAGGGAAAATATGCCCTGTTGTTCTCAGTCACTGGCTGACGATGTATTCATAGATTAGCTCAGGATGCAGAAGCTGTGGATTTAGGGAGAAAAATGGGAGGTCAGGATGTTCCTCCTTCATTCACAGGGGATCAAAGAGGGTAATGCAAACACTAAGAAGACAGAAAGGTAGAGAAAACTCTCAACAGATAAACTTGTTCTGACAGTTTTATTAGCAAAGAAGCTGTCTTTTGAAAGAAAATAAATACAAGGAAGACATTTTTGCCTTTTTTATAGCCACAATGAAAATACTAGCTGCTACAGCAAAATCCCTGACCATTAACAATACAACAAAAGCCCTGAAGACTGTTTCCTCAGGAAGGCTGAAGGTAGGAGGCTGTTTGGAGTTAGTGTTAGTCCTGTAATCAGGTGCAAGTTTCAGCAACAGTCCGTGGTTCTAACCAGACTTGAAGAGAAGAATAGCGACTTGGCCGAGGTAGAAGTAGATGAAGTGCTTGGTCTCATGAGTCACGTAGCTGCCAAAGTTCCTTCCCACGATGCAGTGCCAAGTGGGATTGTATTTCTTGTCAAACTCCTGCAGAAGAGAGAACAAGAATTCAGCATTTTTGTGAGAATCATACTAATACTGTCTCATAGGGTTTTTTTGCAATAGTATGTTACTTGTTAGCAAGTATCACTTTTGGAAGGCAATTAAGGAGCAGCATATGCTCTTGAGTGCAGGGATCATCTGTCACTTACAACTCATCTGCTGCTTAGTCAGACCCCAAAAAAAAAGTACCTCCAAGCTGAGCAGGAATAAGCTTAAAACATATGTTTGTGGAAGTAACTGTTCCCCAAAAGTCACACCATGATCTCAAACAGTAACTTTTAAGAACTTCACTGTTTGTTCTGACTCTATACAGATTAAGCTATTATTTTGATTTCATTAGCTGTTTTCAACAAGGATGCTGAAAGGACTAGATGGAAAATTATCTGCGACTCCTTTGATACCAGGTCCCAAGACCATGTTCTTCCTATATACTGGAGGCAGGAGCCTGCTATGACTTTCAAATAACTCATGTGTACAAGGCTACTGTGAGTAAAGCTGTGCAGTCAGTGGTTATACACTGCAGTATCTAACAGCTGTGGGCTGAAGAGACTTTGTGAGAGCATGAAAGAGTTTGTGTTTTGTGCAACCACACCCTTCAACTACTTGCAGCTCAATCAGGCTCCCAGTAGGAGTTGGAGAGAAAATCTGATAAACTGGAAGCTATGAACCATCTGTTCTGCATTAGCATGAACTGTTTATCTTACATGTGGTGAGGGAAAAAAAAACAAACCAAAACAAAAAGCACAAAACCACTTATTACAAGGTCAAGAAACCACCACTTCTCAAATAGGC